CATCACCATCACCATCACCATCACCATCACCATCACCATCACCATCATCATCATCATCATCATCATCATCATCATCATCATCATCACTATCATCATCACGATCACCATACGTATCGTCACCACAATCATCATTCTTATCATCATCCTTACCATCACCATCGTCATCGTCATCGTCGTTACCACCTTCATCGTCATCTTCACCGTCATCATCACCATCATCATCGTCGTCGCCGTCATCATCATCATCATTATAACCATCATCATCATAACCATCATCATCACTATCATCATCATCACCATCATCATCATGATCGTGATGGTCGCCATGATCATCAGGATCATCAGGAACATCATACTCATCATCAGCATCATCATCACCACCACCACCATCATCATCATCATCAGCATCAGCATCAGCATCAGCATCATCATCATCGTCATCAACATCATCATCATCATCATCATCATCATCATCATCATCATCATCGTCATCATCGTCGCCTCCTCCCCACCCCCCGTCTCCACCTCGTCCGCCTCCTCTCCTCCTCAGCTGTCTCCCCCCCCCCACTGGCCACTGGCCATAGGCAGTTTGAGCACTTCCCCTCTCTCAGGGAGGAGCCCCCTCCCACTCTGGCAGTGGCGTGCGAATGACATCCTGGCAACCCAGGGCGGAAGATCCATCCCCCCGCGGGCGCGCCTGGCCCTGGTACGGCGTGAAGCCAGGGCCTCGGGCAACCGGCATGAAGAGCAGCTTGCTCCAGACAGACCGGCTTCCCACGGCGAGGGGGGAGGAGCAAGAGGATGACAGGAGGGAAGAGGGGCGGGAGGAGGGGGCTTGGCTTGGGTTGGCCCTCAAGGCAGCTCAACATAAAACCGAACCACCCACGTCCGAACCCATCTCAAAGTCGGGATCCTCAGAGGAGGCCGATGCTCGCAAGGATTCGCTCGCCGACCCATCACGAACACTCGCGGGCGGTCCTCGATTGTCAGCCCGGAAGCTTCGAGCATTTCGTCCTGCCCACCCCCCCCACCCCCGCCCCCTAATCGAACGAGGCAGGGCAGAATCGCTGGAGGGGGCCGCCGCCGCGTCAGCCTGCATCTGCGTGCGCCCTGTGGCTGCTGGCAACCCCCCGCGTGGGCGGGAAAGAAGGAAAATGCTTGATACCTGTTCTGTAGTGAGCAAACACGTCGTGACAGACCCTGGGTGCCTTTTGCCCACTTGGCCACGAACACCCTTCAGACATCGGCGCCGTCAGCTTGCCGTCCGAGCTCACCGCCACGCAGCGGCAGCAACAGAAGGGAGAAGCGTAACCTTAGGGCTCTTGCCGTCTACTTCGGCCTGCAGCAACGAGTACTGCCTCCTCGGCCGGAAGCTCATCCGAGCAACTCCACCCGCCCAGGGCCCCACGGACAGCTCCCAAATCCTCCACCCCAACAAAGCCAGGATCCTCGGGGGGCTCCTGGTCGGACGGGAGGTCGGGGCTGGCGGGGTCGAAGGCGGGAAGGGGGAGACTGGCTCTGGCGCTGGGCGAGGCACATCTCCATGAGCTCCTCGTGGTCCTGCCCATCCGCCGGAATGTGCGCCTCTGCGGTCCAAGCGGCCGCCTCGTGAACGCACTCGGACAGGTCTCGCCTGAGCTGAAAACAAATTTGGCCGACGCCATGGACTGCCGTCCCTTTCTTGGCGAATTCGTCGGCTGGTTTGCTAGCTCCTTGTTTCCATTCAGTGGTGAGCCCCGAGTCTACATCTGCGTGTGTGCAGTGGGCTCTCGTTTTGTGCATACGAATGTCAGACGAATGGACGATGTCCCAAACTGGCCCCCAAAATGCCACGCAGATTCCCGCTGCCCGCCCCTCCCCCCGCCAGGCAGTGGGATGACCAGATTGCAAGTCACCTCTTCGCAGGTGCCTGCCGATATTCCTGTTTCACTGCGGAAATGGCCCCCTTCAATGACGAACGCCCCTGAGCCTGACACTCAGGCGAGACACCATGTTATCATGCGGCATGAGCGCTCTATCCTTCTAGCTGACAGAAACGAAGAGAGGGAGGCTAACCACATCCAACGAACACCTACAAAGAAAACGTGCCAGACGACAATGATGTTCTGAAGAAATTGTCCACCACCCGTGTACGTGTTGCCCCATCTCGAAACTACGGACATCAAATTAATGGAAGCCTCAAGCGAGAGCCCAATGTTGGAAAGGCACCGCCCTCCATCTGAGTACTTGCTTTGCACACTGAACCTTCGGGTCGCTCCACATGAGACATGACAAGCGAGAGCCGCACTTCGAAACAGAACCGGCATCCTCCTTGTCACGGCAGTAAGCTTGCAACAATAATAGAGGGCAGAAAATCCACCCCGATAATAACCACCCCGACACGCGAAGCCGTTTAGCAAACGCGCCCAAAGAAGAAATCAAACAGGGCAGGGCGGTTTAGTAAACGCCCAGGGCCGTTCAGTAAACGCCAATTGTCCGGTCTGGGTGCTTTTTTCCTCCCTTGAGCCACTGCGAGACCCCCGGGTTGAAAACCACCGAGCCTCGAGGCGCTCCAGCGAACAGCGCCCTGCGAAGCCCGCAGGGCCCTCCCTCCGTGCAGCTGCTGGCAGCTCTCGCGACGCACGTGCCGCGGCGCCACGCCGCGAGCAAAACGTCTCGAGAGCCACCGGCGCTCCATCACTGCCGCGAGGGTGCGGAGGGCCGCACCGCGGCGGCAGGGCCGAGAGGGCGGGGTGAGCCGGTGGGCTCCCCTGCGCCCCCCGCCCGCTTCCCGGGCGCCCTGCCCCCGGAGCGCACCTGGCCGGAGTCGCTCCCTGCGCCCCCGTCTCGCTGTCCCCAGGACATGCCGTTCCGCCACCCAGAATTCGAATTAGAATTAGGAGAAAAAGGAGAAGACTCAGAAGAATAGGAAGAAGGCGAGGAAGAAGGAGCGACGGCACAAGCAAGAACTCTCGGAGCTCCACGTGCATTTCTTGGGTCTGCGCTTGCTGCTGCTGCTCCTGCCTCCCTGCCCCCTCCCTCCCCCGTCACCGTCGACCTTTCTGGGCCGACCTGCACCGATCGCGCCCCGCTGCTCCCTCCCCCTGCCAGCACTCCCCCTCCCCCTCCTGCTCCTCATCCCCCTTGGCCACGACCACCGTTGCCGTCCCCCTCGGGGCGACGGCAACGGCGACCGTGGCGTGTACCACTCAAGGCGCGCCCGCAGCACCAGCGCCACAATCGCCTGTGTGCACCACAATCCTTGCGTACACGATAACGCCTGCGTGCACCACAGCGCCTGCATTTTCTTTCGTGCTATTTTTGGTAAGCACGGCGTTTGTTTGCAACACAATGCCTGTGTACACCGCGTGCTGGCGGCGGCGACGGCGCGAACGTCGAAGGGACTCCCCCTCATCCTCAAACTGCCCCACCTCCCTCATCCTCCCTCCGCCTCCTCCTCTTCGCCTTTCCACTGGCTCGCACACTTGCTCGCTTGCCGACGGCACCTGAGGCGCCGAAACGGCAGCACCATTCCCAATGGGGGATGCGGTCCGCGCGGAGACGACAGCGCCGTCCTCAACCAGGGACGGGCCCGCATTGAGGCTGGAGCACCGATCTCAATTCCGGACGTGGCCGAAGCCGAAACGAGAGCACCGTTCCAAAACAGGGATGCGGGCGTCGGTGAGGTGAGAACACCGTGTCCCCTTGAGGATGTGGCAAGCCCTGGCACGGAAGCACCATTCGCCATTCGCAGACAGGCACGTTGGCGCAGACACAAGTGCAAACCCAATCGGGGATGCGGCACACTCTGCGGCGAAGGGACCATTCCACGGTGACCGTGAGAACATCAAGAAACTCTGAGGCGACAACTCCATACTGTCTAACAATTTGCGCTCCTGTTGGATCGCCAGTGTGGGAGACCACCACGGCTTAACAGGACCACCTGCGCCATCACCATCACCATCACCAACATCATCATCACCACCATCGTCATAATCATCATCGTCCTCAGCATTATCATCCTCATCATTACCATCACCATCGCCATCACTATCACCATCATCACCACCATCACGATCACCGTCACCATCACCATCATCTAAATCTCCATCACCATCATCGTCACCAACCACCAGCATCACCATCACCATCACCATCACCATCACCATCATCAGCATCATCACCATCGACATCACGATCACTATCATCACCATCATGACCATCGTCATCATCACCATCATCATCATCGCCACCCTCGCCATCACCATCACCATCACCCTCACACCCCATCAACATCCCAATCCTCACCACATTCCCCATTCCCATCAACCCTCATCACCATCATCATCATCAACATCACGATCACCATCATCACCGTCATCACCATGATCACCATCACCATGACCATTACCATCACCGTCATCCTCACCATCACCATTACCGTAATCATCGCCATCGCCATCACCGTCATCATCTCCATCGCCATCACCACCACCAGCACCAACACCATCACCATCGTCACCGTCATCATCATCATCATCATCATCATCATCATCATCATCATCATCATCATCATCATCATCGTCATCATCATCATCATCATCATCATCATCAGCATCATCATCACCAGCATCACCAGCACCGCCATCATCATCACCACCATCATCATCATCATCAGCAGCATAAGCGCCTCCGTTTTGATCATCACCATCATCAGCATCACCACTTCCTTCATCATCATCATCATCATCATCATCATCATCATCATCATCATCATCATCATAGTCATCGTCATCCTTTTCATCACCACCACCGCCACCGCCACCCACTACCACCATCATCATCACCACCATCATCACCATCACCATCACCATCACCATCACCATCACCCTCATCATCATCCTCATCCTCATCCTCATCCTCATCCTCCTCCTCCTCCTCCTCCTCCTCCTCCTCCTCCTCATCATCATCATCATCATCATCATCATCATCATCATCATCATCGTCATCGTCATCGTCATCATCATCATCATCATCATCCCGTCCTGGAGCAGGGCCAAGCTAAGCAAACTGGCGGGCTCTCCGGCGCCCCCGCTGGTGTCCCTGGCCCGGTCCTGCTTCCGAGGCGCCCCAAGCCCGAAAGAATCTGATCGCTTCCCACCGCCGTCAACTCCTCCTCGCTGCGCCCCCCTGCCTCCCGCGAGCGCGGGAGAACGCGAAGCCCTGCGGCGAGAGAAGGCCACCGCCCGGGATGACGACGTCGAGGACAACAACGACAATGACAACGACGACGACAACGGCAACGACAACGACGACGATGACCACCACCGTCGACCACCGACGACGACGAGAACGACGACGGCGAGACGACGACGGACGTCGACAATCGACAACGACGAGAACGCCGACGACGCCGACGAGGACGACCAGGACGACGAGGACGACAACGACGATGATGACGACGGGCCCGTGCATCTCGCGCCCCACGGCGGGGCCTTGGGCGCCGCCCTGCGCCGGGCCGCGCCTGTCCAGCAGCGAGCGGGGCCCTGCGGCGGTCGGCGGTCGACGGCGGCGGTGGCAGGCGGCGGCGGCGGCGACGGCTGCGGCGGACGGCGGCGGACGACGGCGGCAGCGGCGACGGACGGCGGCGGAGGACGGCGGCAGCGGCGACGGCGGCAGCGGCGACGGCGGCGACGGCGGCGGCGGCGACGTCGGCGGGGATGGCGGCGGTGGGAACGGCGGCGGCGGACGGCGGCGTGGGCGACGGCGGTGGCGCCGACGGCGGAGATGGCGGGTCTGTAGGCCTGGTGCTTCTAGGCCTGGGCTCTGCGGCCCGTGGTGTGTCTGCGGAAGTCGACCGACGCCTCGGCCAGCGCCCAGATGCGTGATGCCCGCTAGGCTGTTCTCCCACCCCGTGCCCGTGCCTCGAGGGCCCGGGCACGGCCGACGCTCTTGCAGGGAAAGAGGAGGGAGTCCAGACCTGATCCGGCCCTAACTGGCGCTTTCGCACGAAATGAGGAGAGCGATTCCTCGAGATCGGGCCCCGTGACCAAGCCTGAACAACACACAGTCCTTTCATGTGTGGCTTGGCGTCTTCTCCCCTGGAAATGGCACGCGGCCCATGCTCGAGAAGGTCGGCCCTCAAACACGAAGGTCGCCTCAATCGAGGGCGCGCACACATGGATTAGCGGTCCATGGATTTGGCGCGCGGTCGACAAATTCGGGGGAGGTGCCCTCCCCAAAGTGCGGCCGGTGCCGCCTCGCTCGGCGGCGGAAATTCGCGGAAATCCGGACTCGTCGCTAATCCACGCCCCCTTGATCCATGTTTGCGATCGCCTAACTTTCGCGCTCTTCCTCCCTTCGCCCTCCTCCTCGCGCGGCGGCCGTCCTTCTGCGCCGGGCCCAGAGGCAGCGGCGGCGGCCACGGGGTCCTTGTCTGGGAGGGCCACAGGGGCAGGAGGAGGGAGGGAGGAGGGGGTGGGGAGGACGAGGATGGGGAACAAGGGCTAGAGGAAGCATGAGGAGGTGGAGGACGAGGACGTGGAGGAGGACGAATATGAGGAGCGGGAGAGGAGGATGCGCTCGCTAGCAAGATGAACTCGTTTATATGCAGAAACCGATTTCTATGCCACGGCAATCGGCTCTTCGCCAGCCGGAAACTCAACGCAACGACGCCACTGGAGATTCAACGCCGCCAGACACGCCACACCACCTCACGCTGACTGCCCAAGGGCTTGGCTCGGGAGACGGCAGAACAATCGGAGCGGCTTCAACATGTCTCGTGTAGCGCGCTGGGCCAGCCAGACGTGGGAGGCAGCGGCGCCGAGCCATGGTGGCGTGGCGGGGGACGGAGAGTCACGGAGAGGGCCGAAGGGGGGCGTGGGCGGCCGGCGGGGGGAAAGCCCAAAGAGGGGTGCCACACCAGACGGCGGGGAAGCCGGGAGGGCGACGAACACCTCGACGGGCGGGGGTGCTGCGGAAGCCTCCTCCCCGGGGGCTCGCCCCATCCTCCCCGCCCCTGCCTCCCCCCCCCTCCTCGCGCCTCCCCGCTCCCCCGTTGCTCCTCCTCCTCCTCCTCCTCCTCCTCCTCCTCCTCCTCCTCCTCGCTCCTCCTCGCTCCTCCATCACACCCGCCCCTCCTCGCTCCTCCCCTGTTGCGGAGCCCTTCCTCTCGGGCGGAGGGTCCCGAGCTGCGGCGGCAGACCCGGGAGCGGCCTGGCCGCCACGAGCCATCCAGAGCCCGGGTGGGGCCCGACGTCACCGGTTCCAACACCGGGACTCGGGCTCTTCCACCGAGGCACGTGACCTATAGCGTCTCTTCCCCCGCCCCCGCGCCCGACCCTTTTCTCCGCCCCGCTCCTCCTCTCCCCCGCCGCCTCTCGCCACCGGGGACGGGACCTGTCGTGCACCTGCGAGAGGGTGCGAGCCAACATCATCAGCCAGGATGTTGGGATCAGCTCGTGGGACAACTGCGAAAAGTTGCAAGCCAATATTCTTAGCTACAAAGCTGCGGCCCGCTCGTGCGGGAAATGTAAGAAAGTACAAGCCAACATCAACAACCACAGTGATAGGACCTGTTCGTGCGAGACTTGCAAGAAGGCGCGAGCCAACATCCAAGCTACGGCGCTGGGACCCGCGCTCGTGCGCTCCAACGCTGGGATCAGTTCGCGTGGAAGGTGCACAAGGAGAGCGCAAACATCATCAACTACAGTGCTGGAGACAGCTAAGGCGCAAACTGCAGAGATGTACGAGCCAACATCATTAATCACAATGCTGGGGTCAACTCGGGGTTGATGTCTCAGCCACGGGCGAGCCGGCATCCGCGAACGGAGTTCACCAACATCAGTGCTAGGATCCGTGCGAGAAGTTCGAGAAGACATCCTCAGCTATAGTGCTGGGAACAGCTCAAGCGTGAGAGGAGGAGCGAACAGACATCCTCAGCTACACCGCTGGGTACAACTCGTCCGAGGACATGCGGGAAGGTACGAGCCAACATCATCAGTCACAATGCTGGGATCAGCTAGTTCGAGACTCGAGAAAAGATGCGAGCCAACATCGTCAGCTACAACACTGGGGCCCGCCAGTGAGAGAAATGCAAGGAGGCATGTGGTGGCTAATTTTCCAGCCACGTGCGAGCAGACACTCTCAGCCAGAGTGCTGGAGGAAGATGCGATAATATACGAACGGACATCCTCAGCTACAGCGCTGGGGACCGCTCGTGCGAGAAATGCAAGGAGGTATGCACAGGGTGGTTGATTTCAGCCACGTGTGCGAGAGCTGGACTGCGCACCATCTGCTACAACTTTGGAGATCAAACCTGGTCGCCCAGGACAGGCCTGGGGAGAGGAACTGTCTTTTTATCGCCGCCGTCATTCGTGCTTCGAATCGCTGGAAGTTTAGCCTACATAAACCTCTCGAATCCCCTGCGGGGGCTGCCAAAGCGTCTGGCTTTCTGGTCACAACTCGGGGCTACGGCGGCCGTTCGGGACGATCCGAGAATCCTGGGAACGCTCCCAGCAAGGCGCAGCTGCTCACCGAATCGCCCTGCCCGTGCCGATTCCCCGAGGCTGGACAACCTCCAGGCGCCTGCAAGCGCGTCGCCGAAACACCCTGCTCGTGCCAATCTCGCCCCCAGGGCCCCGTAAACGGGGACTCTGACACACCAGGACGTTGGTACGCCCGAGGATACTGCAACCATGGGTCAACACATCCTCAATTCTTGGTCGTCTCCGGCTGCATCTGGCGAACAGCCTAATCTGCAGTGTCCTGGTTTCTGGGACCCTGAACACTGAGTGGGCGGCACGCACAGGGGGGTGGCACGACGGGGGATGCCTTCCGGGCCATCGTCGGAACAATGCCTAACTCCTGCACGTGGCCGACGCGCGACGGAAGGGCCCGGGAGGGGCCGAATCGAAAGCGAGGGAGGGCCCCAGGAAGCACAGACAACCGAGCGGAGGGGCACGACCGAAAGAAAGGGGCCACGGAACAACGAGGGCGCGGGGCCAGAGTCGGGGAGACGTAAGACTCGGGTGCGGGGGGACTCGGGCTGGCCCGACGGGGTCATCAAACCGAAAAAAAACGGCGCGGCCCGATTTGAGACTTGACGCGAGCTCCTGCTGCAAACGTACCACGAAAACTGGACCGTCAAAATCCAGAACGCGCTCGTCAACAAAAAAACGTCAGCAAACCCGAGTTCCGGCTTGCTCGAGTCTTGCGTTTCCACGACAGCAGGCCGAGGAGCCTGAAAAGACTGCACCTTCAGCCTGGGGGCCCCTTCGTATCCTCAGGGCTCCACCCCTCGGGGCCCCATCTTGTAGCACGAGGGAAGCGTGCCCCGAGGGAAAAAGGCCCTGGACCCCGGGCGCCTTCCCCCAAGACCAATTCTTCATCCTGAATCGTTTTCTGGCTTTCTGACAGTCCTGGGACCCGTGGAGGGGTCGGGAAGCCCCCCAAAGGCGGAAAACCTCAGGACTCGTTTCCCTCGGGACCCCCCCCCCGATCCGACGCTGCAAAAACAACGAACGAACCATCATAATAACCCGAGACCCTATTATTCTGCGGCAAAAAATGCTGGGCGAAAACGCGCGGTGCGAAAAAAATGCAACGCCCAGGTTGCGCCCTGGTCCCCCCTCTGGCGTGGACTAGCCAGGCTCAGCCCAATCCAACCAATCCAAATTTTCTAGGGCTTCGGATTCCAAACCCGGCTCAATCACACTCTGCCTTTGCAGTCGGGAATCTGCTGACCCGCGTCAATCCAGACCCGGGTCAGCCAGGCATGAATGATCCTGCAAGACCCTGCACCAAAGCTGGGGTCAATGCGACCCTGGCCCTGCAAGATCCTGCAAGATCTGGCGCTCTGGCTGACCCCCGTTTGCATTGACCCCGGTCCCTTGAGCCCCGATGCAGGATCCTGCTGCAAAATCTGGCGTTCTTGCTGGGTCCCGCTTGCGCTGAACTGAAGAGGACGTGCGCCCGGTCGCCGCCACCGCCGTCCCGAGGGTGTCGTCGTCGTCGTTGTCGTCGTCGTCGTCGTCGTCGTCGTCGTCGTCGTCAGCGTTGTCGTCGTCGTCGTCGTGCTCGTGGTCGTGGTCGTGACGTCGTCGTCGTCGTCGTCGTCGTCGTCGTCGTCGCCAGCGTCGTCGTCGTCGTCGTCGTCGTCGTCGTGCTCGTGGTCGTGGTCGTGACGTGTCCCCCCCACCAACCAAAAAAGGGCCTGGAGCCGGCCGCCACCCTCCACGTCGAGCAGCGACAACAGCGAGCTGCTCGCGGCCTCCCGCAGGCCGCCGCCGGAGTGGGGGGGGACGGGGAAGCGGGCGTGGGGGGGGGGGGCGGCGAGCGCCGCGGAGAGCGCGCGGCGGATGAATAAGAGGGGGACGGAGGAGCGGCGTGGAGCCCGCGGCGGTGGGTGACAAGCCAGGGGTGGGGGGGGGGACAAGATAGGTGCGCTCGCACCAGATCTGACATTTCCACCCCTCCCACCCATCCCTTCTCCAAGACTGCCAAGACGGCCTCCAAGATACCTCCAAGACGGCCAAGATGGCCTCCAAGACGGCCAAGATGGCCCCACAATGGCCCCAAGATGCACCCAAGACGGCCAAGATGGCCTCAAGATGGCCTAGGACTGCCCGATAGGCCCGCAAGATGCCTCCAAGACGGCCCAAGAGCCCTCCAAGACGTCCTCCAGGAAGGCCCGACAAGGTTTAAATCATTGATTTTCCGGTGGTGCTTGAAGGATTGTGGCATTTTCTTCTTGTCAGTTCTCCGGCGACCCAAGACGGCCCAAGAGGCCCCCAACTTCGACCCAAGAGCGCCCAAGAGGCCTCCAAGATGGCCCCATGACAGCCCCAAGAGGCCCCCAAGAAGGCCCAAACAAGACGCCCCTACGGCCCAAGATGGCCCCCAAGACGCCCAAGATGGCATCCAAGCCGGCCAAGATGGCATCCAAGATGCCTCCAAGACGGCCAAGAAGGCCTCCAAGACGGCGAAGATGGCCTCAAGATGCACCCAAGACGGCGCAAGATGGCCTGAAGATGGGCTTAGAGTCTAAGCCCATCTTCAGCCTTAGACTGCCTTAGACTGCCCAAAGGCCCGCCAGAGGCCTCCAAGACGGCCCAAGACCCCTCCAAGACGTTCTCCAGGAAACCCGAAACTAGGAAACCACCTGGTGCGATAGCTCGCCCGACTCCGTGTTCCCCGACGGCTTTCGAAACCCACTCGGGGAACGCGTGGCCCGATAGCTTTGCCAAACTCAACCCCAACATTCGGCCACGCAGGCGCTTCCAAAAAGGCAGGAGGCGGCGGTGATTCGCCGTAGGCGTCTTCGATTCACGCCAAAGTCTCAATATGCGCTGATGATTCCTTCTCGCCCCCGCATGATGTTCCCAGATGCGCCAAGGCAGCGCCGATACGCACCGACGCGACTCTGATATATCCTATTCTGATAGAGAGAGAGGGAAGGCCGGCGGCAGGGGGCGAAGCCCTTACGGATACTCGAGGAAAAGGGAAGGGCCAAAGAGAACTGACGAGTGCGGAAAGACGAAACAGAAACAACGAAACGGGTGGGACAACAAATAATAGGAACGACATCCGGCGACAACCGCTTTCCAGGGTTGCGAAGGTGTGCGAGATGGTTGGCTATCACTGCTCCCCCTTGCCCCGTCCTCCACGGAGGTCCCAAATTCCAAATCCCGTGAGGAGGGAGTGCTCATCAACGCTCCACCAGGCCCGCTGGAGCCTCCAAATCCGCCACCCGTGGCCTCCAGCATGCAAGAATCTACCTTCCAATATGGCTCATGAGAAGGCTCCAACACGCCACAGCGGCCTCGAGAATACCCCAAGATGGGCCCAAGACGATCCAATTAGCCCAAGGACGCTCCAAAGGCCCCCCAAAGGAGCCCCACGATGGCCTCAAGAGATCATTAGTTTCCACACGGCATTTGAACATTACCGCGTTCTCGCATGTCGGGCTTATGACAGCCCCAGGCGACCCTCAGGCCCCCCTCTGATCAGCACGAGGTACACTCAAGATACCCTCAACATGGCCCAGAGACGGCCCAGGAGAGCCCCAAGACGACCCAAGGGCCCCCCAGAACGAATGAAAAGGCTTTCAAGAAGGCTCCGAGACTGGCCCAAGAGGGGAAACCCGCATGGGCCCCAGGCCCCGCCCTCCGACGCGCAAAATGACCCCCCAACAGCCCGGCCGTACCCCAAAGAACCTCCCCAAAGCCCTCCAAATCCCCCAAGGCCCCTGAACGAACACGTTTCCAGGAGGCCGTCCCGGAATCCAAGGGTGCCCGCAACAATAACGGAGAAACAGGAGGATACATCAGAAACGCGCATATGCAAACAATACCAGATGGAACGGCAAGCAACACACACACCACACTGGAAGCCGAACGTATTCTCGTCTGGGCGTCGGAATAATGACATAAGCTTCTTGATCATGAGCAACCAAGGAGAGAATTAGAGAGAGAGAGATAATACATCAAAACAAGAGAGAGAGAGAGAGAAACAAGAGAGAACGAGAGAGAGGGAGAGAGGGGGAGAAACATAGAAGGGAATGCCCGACGCGCTGACAAGGCTTTAGATCTGGGGAGCTCTCCTCTTATTGTTCCCTTCCTCCCCCTGTCACGGATGTAGGGAGTCCATTTTCAAAACCATCGCCAGGCCCCCCGTCGGACACAATAGAAGGATGCACTGCGGCTCCTGTTCGAAAAACGGGGCCCTCGCCTGCGCGGCAGGTCCACGGGGCGCCTGTCTTTCAAGGAGGCGCTTCCCCGAGTGATATTGAATGATTGCAGGGGTTCTTAGGAAGGGGGGTTGTGGGCGGGAGGGTGTATTCCAGCATCGTTGGCGCATCCTGTGTCCACTCTGGTCCTCCTCTTCCTCGTCTTCCTCCGCGTCCCTTTCGCCCTCTTCCACCTCCTCCTCCTTCCGTTCGTCCTCCTCCATTCCCCCTTCCTTATCGGTCTGTCCTCCTTGTCGCACCCCCAGACGGGTCGGCAGGGGGGGCCGGACTTTTCGCCTGATCCTGAAACTAGAAATTCGCAAACGCTACGTGGATGAAACGCTGGTGGCATTCAAAACAAAAATCTCGCCGCAACGCCGTGCGCAATTGTGTTGAACATTTGCAGCAACTGGAGAGGCGGAGCGAGGCATTATCAACCCGGAACTGTCGCCTCATCGTTGCGCATATTCATATTGACACCTTGCAACATTTACGTTGATGGACGTTGGTCGTTTTTAGCATGGGGGTGCCTCATCAGTGCCACATGCATGTGTGTTGAAACTTGTGCAGGAACGTCACAACCATGGAGAGCGATTGCTGTTGAAGACGGGGTCTGGCGCCGATGCACCGCGCGCATTGACTTTCAACGCCTGCGGCAATGACGAATACAGAGGACGAATATTTTTCAAAATGGGGCCCTCGTTAGAAACTTACATACCTTAACAAGGACAGGGACTTCAGCATGTGTAGACACTTCACGGGTGGAGGATGGCTCATTTTCAAGCTGAGGTTTTCGCCTTAAACCTGTTCCAATTCCATCGCTGGCATATCGATTCTTGCAACGGTTGATTGGACAGGTGGGGGGGGCGGTCCTCCTTCAACATGGGTATGTCGCGGAACAAATCGTCAAACTGTCTGATCAAACGTGCGCGCTGGAAACATGTTTTCAACAGGGGCTTCCGCCTGAAATGACAGGCCCATAAGATGAAATCTGTTTCGGGATGGAGGGGGGCATCTGGTACGAAAACAAACACGCAAATGGGTACTTCCGGGGAAAGGACTTGGGATGGCGCATCCCGGGTTTAGCCAGGTAGTCGTCGTCGTCGTCGTCGTCGTCGTCGTCGTCGTCGTCGTCGTCGTCGTCGTCGTCGTCGTCGTCGTCGTCGTCGTCGTCGTCGTCCCCCTCCTCCTCCTCCTCCTCCTCCTCCTCCTCCTCCTCCTCCTCCTCCTCCTCCTTGAGGGGTAACGATAAGGGCGGGACTGGCTCGAGGGGGAAACATCTACCTGGACTCGGTGACACATCGCCGATAGATCGGCCTCCGGCCCCCGATGGCGAATCCCTGCGGTCCCGAGCGGGGTGGGCTCTCGAAGCCCCATCGGTGGGCGATCGAGGGTGGATGCATCCCCCCGAGAGCCTGTGCCCCGGGCTCCCCGTCCTCCTCCTCCCCCCCCCCGCCAGCGAGCCGCGTGTCCGGCCGGCCGAGCATCGCCGCTCAAAACGAGGCAGTTCACCCAGGATGAAGGGGCCCTGGGACACACAAACAAATACACACACAAAACAGGATTCCCCATATTTTCCGATATGTTTTGGATTTTCGTCCTCCCCCCCACTTCCCATATTTTTGCATATTTACCTGAGAGCCGACGGTTAATCGTGTCTGTGTTTTTTCCCTCCTGACAGGAGCAACGAGCGAACGGCGGCCACTCCTGGCATGTAGCCCAGCGCGGAGTCCTTGGGTTCAGTACCTTGGAGAGACGCGCCGTACCTCGGCGCGCACCTGTGGCAGCACGTGGGAAACCTCCGCTTCAGGCATTCCGCCGGGAGCATGCGGCGTGATGCAACCCTGGCTCTGCAAGAGGAACGACGAACGTCCGCCACTCCTCCTCCTCCTCCTCTTCCTCCTCCTCCTCCTCCTCCTCCTCTTCTTCCTCTCCGCATCCGTCTCCTCTTCCTCCTCCATCCTTCTCCTCTTCCTCCTCGCCGTCGCCCTCGTAGCGGCGGGGCCGGGGCGGACGGCCTGCCTCGCGCATGGCCTTGAACATCTTGAAGGACAGGCGCATGCAGATGAACTCCTGGTGGGATTTGCGGAGGAGGGAGGGGGGGGGCCCTCCCCTCCTTCCCTGTCTCTCACCTCCTCGTTGCCCCACCCCGTCCCTCCTCATCCAGCTCTCGTCCTCGCCTGCCTCCTGCCTCCTCGTCCTCCGCCCCGGGGGGGTCTTTCCCAAACCAACTCAGTCGGGGCCCTCTTGGGGACCTCGCTTGAGCGGCCTGACGTTTAGAACGCGTGGTGAAACCCGGGCTCTCATCTCTGAGGGGACTCCAATACACACCCTAGCGAAGCTTGGAGGGGGAAGGGCATGCAAGACGTGCAAAAGAGAAGGTGGCAAGATGGAGGGGAGAGGAGGCCCGAGGGGGGGAGGGGGCCTTGGACAAATAGAAACGAGGAAGGGGAGAGATGTGGAGGATGAGGGGGGCGGGGGGCGGAGCATGACGGGAGGGATGAGGAGAAATGGTGGCGAAGGAGGTCGGGGGAATGGGATGAGAAATGGGGGAGAAGGGGAGGGGGGTTTCGGACGAGGAGGGAGAAAGTTGCATGGCTCTGACCTGCACGCATGGCCGACTCGGAAGTAAGAACAGCTCCGTCCGCAGGCGAGACCCGCCCCAAAAGGGAGCGCAGGAGGGACACCAGCAACGCCCATGAGGATGGGCAGGAGGACGACGAGGACCAGGATGAGCTCTGCACGTCCGACAATGACCACAGCTTGTCAGAGAAAGCTCACTATGCAGGTCACAGGGCGCACCTTGGTAATCTGTTTCCCGACGGGCCCACGAACATCCACCCTCTTCTGCCTGGAGAAACCCCAAAGACGTCCCAGACCCGAAGGCGCCAGACCGTCCACGAGCCCGCTGCGACGGCCTAGAAGGGCTCCAACATGGCCCGATGGAGCGATAGAGCCCCAGGAGGCGCCCAAGAAGGCCGAGCAAGGCCCAGAAAGAGCGCCCAGACAGTCCCACTGTAGCCCTACAGGGCCCTTCCCTAGTGGTCCCCAATGTATTCTGGACAGCTCAGATGCCACGCGGCCCACTATCGCGGATCGCACTTAAGCGCGACATTCCATCACACAAGTTTTTCTAGAAAGCATGAAGGGCCGAGGTTCACCGGAGGCGTCTTCGACAAATCGCCTCAAGTGAGGTTGCGGACTTGCGAGCGCATCGAGTAATCTAACCCATCCGCCTCCCTTTCGTCTTCGATTGTTCCTCCTCCTCCTCTTCCTCCTCTCACTCCTCCTCCTGCTGATCCAAAGCCCAGGCGTGCAGGGAGGGCCCCGCCACCAAGGAGGGCTGCTAGCTTCTTCTTTTTTTGGTGGGGGGGGCGGCGTTCTGTTGGTGGGCCTCCACCTGGGGATGGGATCTGGGTGGGGGGACAAGCAGGCTCCTCGAAGGGCACCTCGCGGGATGGACGCCTCCACCCCCTTTTTCCTTCTCTCGATTTCTGACCTGGACCTTCCTCTTCCCTCCCTCAGTGGGTTACGCGCCTCTCAATCTACCTCTTCCCCCTCCGCCTCCTCGTCTCCAGGACCACCGATATGACCAGGGCGAGGTTGCCAGTGACGGTGTGCCAGCTGCACGGGTCGATCTGCTTGTGGATTGTTTGCCCGTCCTTGACCTAGCAGGCGGGGGCCGAAGGATGATGACGAAGAGGAGGAGGTGGAAGAGGAGGAGGAGGAGGAGGAAGACCCGGCGTTCCGTGAAGTCTCCGCAGCAGCAAGCCACTGGGTAACCTAGAGGACAGAAAAGACTGCTAAGCACTCGAGACGCCACCTCTTCGGGGGATCCCCGTCGGAGGATGGCTGACAGCTCGAAGATTTCCGAAGAGCGGTAGCCCGAAACCGGCTAGTCTCCAAGTGACGGGCCCATTGCAGTGGTCCATCAGCACCGGAAATTGGTGACTGGATGCTGATCCACCGCAGTTGAAGCGATAAACGAAGGGCCCTTCGGCGACCATGTGGTGGCCCCGAGTGAGCTCAAACAAAAGGCTCGGCAACCCTAGCCGGGGGTCTGGTGCACTGCTGCCAGTGCCAAGCCCACCGGAAACCCTGCCTGGCCCTCTGGTCGCATTGCGCCCTGGAGGGCTCGTGTGGCCTCGGCCCCGAAGGGACCAGCACGGGCGGTCGAAGGGCCTGTGCCGCTCCCCCGAAGCTCCCTCCCGGAAGCGCCGTCGGCATCCCCGACCTCGCCGACGCGAGTCCAGGGCCTCGCACCGACAGAGCGGCCGCCACCAGGCGCGCAGGCCAAGAGCGCACTAGGGGGCCGTCGCGGCCCCCCGCGCGGGGGAGCGGGGCCTCCCCTCGCGCTCCGTGCCCAGAGGTGCAATCTCCATTAAATTAAACGCCCAGCCTTTAATTTAAGGGTAATGCTAAAATATATGATAATATGATAGCATGACGTTAAACGTAGAATTGTGAGGATGATTCGTGCGGGAGCCGCGTGAATGATGAGGAAAAAGGAGAGGGGGGAAAAAGGGGCAGTGGAAGACCGATGACGCGCGGCCGCCCGCGACCCGCCACCGATTGGCTCGAGGGTCCTCCAGGCGCGCGCGCGATGGCGCCACCAGGGGCCGCCAGGACACTCGGGAGGAGGAGTAGGAGAGGAGGAACAGTCACAGAAGGAGGAGGAGGAGCAGGAGGAGAAGGAGCAGGAGGTGAAGGCTAGGAGGAGGAGGAAGAGGAGGAGGAGAAACAGGAGGAGGAGAAGCAGGAGGAGGAGGAGGAGGAGGAGGAGGAGGAGGAGGAGGAGGAGGAGGAGGAGAGGGAGGCGGAGGGGAAGAAGGAGGAGGGGGAAGAGGAAGACACGACGAGGATAAGGATTAGGAGAGGAGCAGCAGCAGGAAGAGCAGCCGCATCCGAGGACGGCCGTGCCCATGGCCGACGAGATGCACGGCGAGATCCGCGAGGATCCAGCCGAGGGGGGGAGGGGAGGAGGAAGGAGGCTCGAAGCAGGAAGGAGGAGGTCGTCGTAAATCCATCAAACGTTTGATGGATTTGCGACGACCTCGAGGAACAGTAGGATGAAGGATGATCTCAGAAGAAGCGGAAACACGACGGTGACCACGACGACGATGACAATGACGATGGTGAGACGTGCCAGCGACAGTCACAGCAGCAACGACAGCGGCGTCGGCATTCCTCCTGACGCAAACCCGCCTCCTCCACGCACTCCCCTTCCTGGTAACCCTCGTCCCCCCACTTCTCTTCCTGGTCACCCTCGTCCCCCCACTCCTCTTCCTAACATTCCTAACTTCCCCCACTCCTCCTCCTCCTCCTCCTCCTCCTCGATCCTCCTCCTCTTCCTCCTCCTCCTCTTCTTGGCCTTCCCCTCTCATCCTCCTCCTCCTCCTCTTCCTGGTCTGCCTCATCAAAATTGCCCCACTCCTCTTCCTGCCCCCCACTCCTCCTCCTGATCAAGTCTTTTGCTCCGCCTCCGACCTCAAGACCTCGTCATCGTGTTGATCCGTGCCATAGCCAGTTTGGGCTCCATGAGGTTTGATTATTCGCGCTGAACGGCGCACGATGCCTCCCAAGACGCGATGCGACGATCCTGCAGGAGTATTGCGTGCTCTCAAGGAGCACATCACAAGCACCGACGATGTGAAGTACGGCTCAGGCATGCAGAAATCTCAGATGGACGAGCCAGCGCTGAAGCGCCACAAGGAGCTGCTGCAGGCGTTGTATGAGGTGCACAAGCCCCTGCTGTTCAAGCAGTCCATGCTGACGGCGCAGCTGGCGAAGTTGGCCCTAGCTGATGGCCGCCCTGATGGTCCAAAGCGGCTGAAGCTCAAGAAGAGCGAGATCAACGCATTCTCGGAGGAGTACGCCAAGCGGATCAGGACGATGTGCCACCACCTGAACCAGTCGTTGCGAAAACATGTCGGATGGGCTCTGCAGTTGGTCGGCGCCACGGCCGAGGACGCAGATGACCAGGACGACGGAGACGAGGAGGAGGAGGAGGAACCCGCAGATGAGCACGAAGGTGGCGAGGAGGAGGAGCGAGTGCCGCCCAGCGACATGGAGGACGATCGCGAGGACAGAGGTGGCGAGCCCGCAGGTGTTGCTCCAGCTGCTGCAGCATCCAGTGCGAGCGACGCGCCTGCGGACGACAAGTGGTCCTACGGCTACGACAAGGAGCACGACCGTCAAATACCTCCCACACGTTTCAGGGGGCTTGTTGGGACCCAGAGTTTTTTGGGGCAATTTCCCGCCCCCGTCTAAAAGGCCCGTTTCAAAGGGCCCATGGTAAAGGGCCCCTCCCTCATCCGTCTCCACCCTCCTCATCACCCTCGTTCTTTCTCCTCCTGGTCCTCCTCCTGTCCTTCCTGGCCAGGTACGCTGGGCTCCTGTCCGTCCTGGCCCTCCCTGGTATACACAATCGCCCCCTCCATCCTCTTTCAGATGTTCCGGCCTCCACAGGAGATGAAGTGCGCCTACAGGGTGCAGAAGAACAAGCCGAACAGCGAGAAGAAGTTCGCGGCGGAGATGTTCAAGGAGACGGACGCCAAAGATTCCGACCAGATGATGGCGAAGTGGCGGGACGGCACCGTGAGACGCGTGCCGCAGATCACCGTGAAGCGCTTCTACGAGTTGGACGCGAAGCCCAAGGCCAAGGGGAAGGCGAAGGGGAAGCCGAAGGAGAAGGAGAAGGAGAAGACGACGGAGAAGGTGAAGGTGAAGGCTCCGAGCGCTACGCGACCAGATGATTATGAATTCTTCACTGGCGATGCGCCTAACGGCGAGGAGATCAAGGTGTTTCTCAAGTGGAACAGGCCGCGGAAAGGACGCCACCAGAGGCTAGTATGCTTGAAAGTGGGTGACGCCCCGCAGATGATTCAGGTCGACTGCATCTTCTACAACACGATTCAAGACGCCATCACGTTCGTCAACGACATCGCCAAGGAGGTCAAGAGTGACAACATGAACAAAGCCAAGGCCCAGATATTGAAGGATACGTACGAGAAGGCCAACATGCACCTGAAAGAGCAACGCCTTGTGGATCCAGAGTGGAACAACTTCTACGAGCTGGAGAGGGCACGCATCGAGAAGCTGGAGGCGATGGCGGCGAAAGAGATTGCGTCACATCCACACGCAGATCATGATACGGACAGCCAGATGGACAAGGAGGCGGCGCTGCAGGGGGCATACGATGGCCTGAAGAAACCCGTGGAGAACGATGTGACCGTGATGAAGAGGCCAGCAGGTAAGGTGATGAAGAGAGCTCGTCCAGCTGCTGCAGCGCCGTCAACGCCAGCATCAAGTTCGGCGCCAGCGGCCTCGGTTCCCAAGGTCACCGCCATCGACAAGACGAACGTCGAGGACTCCCCGAGGACTCCGACGCCCAAGAGGCCGAGGGACACCGAGGAGCAGCAGGAGAAGACGGCGCAGCAGCCGCCTGTACCGTCTAGGAACATCGAGCCTCCGCCATACAGTGCAATGGATTCGGAGGACGAGTCGTAGAATGAATCACAGTGCCCTCCATCCGCTGCACCCCCTCACCCTGAAAGGCAGGAGAGGACGAAGATGAGGAAACGGACGAGGAGGAGGAGAGGGGAGGATCTCCCTCGATCGCCCACCGCCTCCTGAAATAATCACCCTCCTTCCTCCCCCCCTTCTCTCTCTATTCTCTCTATCTCCCTCCCTCCCTCTTTCTCGCGTTCGCTCGTTCTTTCCCCCATCGTGCGCTCTCATCGCCTTCCACCTGCCAATCAATGCGTCACTGATCGGAGCCATCTTCCTTCCATGAAGTGCAGTGTCCTACTCCTCTCCTGGACCTTCGGCTACTCTCGCAGTCCCCGAGGCCTCTTCGTGACTTTGGCTGGTGCCTCTGCCTCTATCGGGTTATCGATCCTCTAGAGGCTGCGCTGAACCCGCGCCCCGTGCCCCCCCGCCCTCGCGCTGGAACCAGGACGCCCCCGTCGGCTCGGTCGTCGAGGTCCAGGACAGCACCGACTCGGTCGACGAGATCTCGGCAGTGACCAGCGGCGAGGCCACTGACGAGGAGAAGGAATATTATGAGGGGACTGAGGCAAGGAAGGATCATGGATGGAGGACAGAGGATCATGGATGGAGGAGTGGGGGTGGAGGACAGGAGGAGGAGGAGGAAGAGGAGGAGGAGGAGGAGGAGGAGGAGGAGGAGGATGCGGATGAGGACGAGGATGAGGAGCAAGTGGAGCAGGAGGAGCAGGAGGAGGGAGGTGAAGGATCGCAGTGAGTGAGAGAGGATGGATGCAATAGTGAGGAGGATCCGCCCGCTCGCTAGGCTGCACCAGCGGACGCGGCGGCCCCAGCTTCTGCCCCAGATGGTCGCCAGGACTGCGGGCTAACCCTCCCCCATCCTGCTCCTCTTGCTTCTCCTCCTCATCCTCCTCCCCCGCCTCCTCCTCCTCCTCCTGCTCCCTCCGTTTCCCCCTTCTTCTCATCCTCCTCCGCCCTCCTCCTCTCTGGTACTCCCCCTCCTCCTCCTCCTCCTCCTCCTCCTCCTCCTCCCCCTCCTCCCCCTCCTTCTCCCCCTCCTCTCCCTCCCTCTCCTCCTCCTCCTGTCCTGCCAGCTCCTCGTTGTTTTTAGTTTCGCACCCGCGCTGAATCCCTGAACTGATTCGCGTGTCTCCTCCAGGCT